TGTCAATCTAATTCTACTTTTAAAATATATTTTTATTGCTACTTGTAATTTGAGTTTCTAAACTTTTGATCTTTTATAAGGATGAGATATTTTAATAAAAATACTATCTCTTCTATATATTGATTATCTAAATTTAATTAATTTTAAATGTATATCTAAATTAAATATTTATTCTAATGTATAATTCTAATTTTACAAAAAAATAATCATTAAATAAAAAATATTATTACATTATAATATGAATGATTATTCTAATATATGAATTAACTATTTTTATTTTATTAAAAAATAATCATTAAATAAAAAATACTGATTATATTATAATATGAATTATCATTACAATTTTCAAACGTTATTATAAAGTCAAATTAAATTATTGATTTGAAATTTTAAATTAAATCATAATTAATCAGATCAGACCAGATCAGATCAAATCAGATCCAATCAGATCAGATCAGATCCAATCAGATCAGATCAGATCCAATCAGATCAGAACAGATCAGATCCAATCAGATCAGATCAGATCAGATCCAATCAGATCAGATCAGATCAGATCCAGTCAGATCAGATCAGATCAGATCCAATCAAATCAGATCAGATCAGATCAGAACTTATTAGAATCAGATCAGATCAGAAAAAATAAGTTGAACGGAACGGAGCCAAAGGCGTAAACCCGTGTTCCAACAATTTCCCCCTTTTTGATAATGGCAAACAAGACGGGGATATGCATACTAAGGGATATTTGATTTTCAGAAAGTTGTGAAAAAGTTCCCCCTTAATTTGTGTTTTAAAAAAATATTTAGTCGGATTAAAATCAAACGGTCTCGTTTATAGAGTCGTTCGCCCTTAGTATATGCATAGCCCTTTTCTTCCCCATTTTGACATTAACAAAAAGATAAAAGATACTTTTATTTATTAATGGGAAATAGCGGAGTACAACGGAAGCATTAAGAAAAAAAACAAGATAATTAAGGAAAAGAGATAGAAATTCTAGGGGTGTCCTAGTTTTCGTCTTCGGTTTCTTCCTCGTCGTTGTCGACGTCCATCTCATCACCATCAATGGCGTCATCGAACTCGTCTTCATCCGGGGAGCTTGACGGGGCATAGGAGGCATCGTCTTCGTCCTCGTCACCGTACACTTGCCCAAAGAACGTGCCATGGTACGGTGGGGGGACGTAGTTAACACGTTGGAAGTACGCGTTCATGGCGTACCCTTGGCGTTGGACCGCCTCGTCAAGCCTCTCAAGGTAGCCATCCATCCCGTCAACTTTGAAGTGCAGCCGGTTGAGGGAGTCGGCGATGGAGGCGAGGTTGGCCCGGGCCTGGGGTTCGGCTGGGCCAGCGGCAGGGGCAGTGCGGCGTGGCACGGCAGTGGCAGGCGCGGCGTTGTCCGACCGCTTGGTGAAGGTTTGTGTGCTGATCGTCTAAAGCTTCGTGGCCTTCGTGAGCGGGCCAACGGTGGTGGTTACCTTGAACCGTTCAAGGATGTCCATCACCAAAAACGGGTACGGGAGGAGGTGATCGTGGTCGGTGGACGCGGCGATCGTCATGTTGATCATGACAAACTTCGCCCAATTGATTGGGGCCGAGTGCATGATCGCATGGACGAGCTTGAGGTCCTCTCCGGACATGATTGTGTGGCCGTGCTTCCGGGGTTTGATGATCCGGGAGACGACGTAGAGGACGAGGCGGCCTTCGGGGGTAGCGGAGTGGATGGTTGGGTGGCCCGAGGCATGGCGGATGAGCTCGGTGATGCCAAGCTCGTTGAGGATAAGGCCCTCGTTGTTGAGCACCCAGTCCTCTTCGCCATAGTGGGACACATCGTCGCCTTGGAAGGGAGGCCGACGATGCGCCCAAGCTGCTCCACGGTGAGCTCAATCGGCGTGCTCTTGACAAGCGAGTAGAGCATGTCGTCCTCACGCCGGAGGTTGGAGTAGAAGGCCCGGATCAGCGCCGGGTTGATCTCCTTTCGAGCCCGGGAGACGAACGGCCAAAGGCCGGCTTGATGAAGCTGTGCGTCAAGGTCGTCGTAGCCCTGCAGCTCCGGGTAGCGCTCCGGGATGATCCGTGGTAGAGCCACAACCCGTTTAGAGAAGAAAGTGAGAATGCGGGTGCGCTCCTCCTCAGAATCGAACCAGAGGTACGACCCATCGCCGTAGTAGAGGTGTTCCTCGGAGGATGTCGTACGCTCCCGGGATTTGGCTTTGGATTTGCCGGAAGCTCCTGCTCTGTTCTTATCTTTGCCCATGATGAAGGAAAATTGTAAGGAGAATGAAATATGCAAGAAGTAGGGAGAAAATTTGTGTTTGTGTGTGTAAAATTGAGGAGAGGAGGCTCCAATTTATAGGGAAGGAGGCCTCCAACGTCCAGAATTTCAAAAAATATGGCTGTTGGAGCAATAAATGCAGGTGCAACGGTTTTTTTTTTGAAAATTTGACTAGAACAGCGATGGTCTATAGGCGACATCGCTGTTGGGACAGCACTGTTGTGCCTTGTACAGCGCTGTTCTGCATCAAGTTTTAAAAAAGAGGGGTCAAATGGACAGCGATGTTGGATACCCTACAGCGATGTTCCAAAAGTTTCTGGAATTGTGTAAGGGTTTGAACCCATTTGAACAGCGCTGTTGGGTTTCCCTACATCGCGTTTTACGATTGGGGAAAAAAAATTTGTAAAAAAATTGACAGCGCTGTTGCTCAAAGGACATTGCTGTTGAAAAACTTTCTGGTTTCATAAATTAAAAGGTGTTTTGAAAGACAGCGATGTTGAAAGAGGGACAGCGCTGTAGAAAAAGTTTCTGGAAAGAGTAAGAAAAGGGAACTCCCTGGGACAGCGCTGTTGGCTTGTTGTACAGCGCTGTTGGAAAACTTTCTGGCTGACGGTGTTTCCCTCAACAGCGCTGTTGTGTCTCCTGGACAGCGCTGTTTGCATGGTTCCCCCTGATTTCATGGACGGGGTACCTGCAAAAAAGAAAAAGTTCTCCGACGCTCAAGTTAGTAAACGTTTAATAAATTTAGATGCACAACTTAGATCATCGTGGAGTCAAGGATTCCGAGTTCACTTCGAATGCGGAAGAATGACTCTTTCTCT